GCAGCACCCAGATCCGGCTGATCCCGCACACGGCCGGCTCGGGATCCAGGGAACAGCGCCAGGCACGGGCGGAATCCTGGGAATCCCCGGAATCCTGGGAATCTGGGAACGGCTCCGTCAGCACCCGGAACGCCTGCGGGAATGGGAAATGGGAAAGGGAAACTGGGAATGTGAAATGGGGAATCCTGGGAATCTGAGAACGGCTCCGACAGCACTCGGAACGCCTGCGGGAATGGGAAATGGGAAACTGGGAATGGGAAACGGGGAATCCTGGGAATCTGGGAACAGCTCCGACAGCACCCGGAACACCTGCAGGAATGGGAACAGGGAATGGGAAACTGGGAATCCCAGGAATCCTGGGAATCTGGGAATGGCTCTGACAGCACCCGGAACGCCTGGGAGAAAAGAACAGGGAATGGGAAATGGGAATGGGAAACTGGGAATGGGAAACTGGGAATCCTGGGAATCTGGGAACGGCTCCGACAGCACCTGGAATGCCTGGGAGAATGGGAACAGGGAATGGGAAACTGGGAATAGGAAATGGGAAACTGGGAATGGGAAACAGGGAATGGGAAACTGGGAATGGGCTTGGGAAACTGGGAAATGGGGAACGGAAAATGGGAAATGGGGATGGGGAACCCGGAATGGGAATGGGGGGATCCAAATCCATCCTGGGACATTCCTGGGGATTCCAGCCCAGCTGGGAATTCCTTCCCCAGATCCCAATAAATCCCCCCTTTCCCATTGGAATCCATTCCCGCTGTCCCATCCCTCCATCCCTTATCCCAAATCCCTCTCCAGCTCTCCCGGAGCTCCTTTAGGATCGGGAAGGGGCTCCGAGCATTCCCTGGATCGTTCCCCAATCCAGGGGAACATTCCCACTCATTAATCATTAATCAATCGATCAATCAATCAATCAGTAATCAATGATTAACTGATCATTAACCAATCATTAATTAGTCAATCAATCATTAACCAACCAATCATTAATCAATCATCAATAAATCATTAACCAATCATCAATCATTCAATCATCAATCATTAACCAAATCACCAATCATTAACCAACCATTAACCAACCATCATTCAATCACGAATCATTCAATCACCAATCATTAACCAACCATTAATCATTAACTAATCAACAATCAATCATTAACCAATTATTAATCAACCATTAACCAATCATTAATCATCAATCATTAACTAATCAATAATCAATCATTAGCCAACCATCAATCAATCAATCATTAACCAATCAATCATTAACAACCATCAATCATTAATCAATCATTTACCAATCATTAATCAATCAATATCTAATCGTTAACCAATCACTAAATCAATATCCAATCATTAATAAATCAATATCCAATCAATCAATCATTGATCATCAATCAATCATTAACCAATTATTAATCAACCATTAACCAATCATTAATC